GCAGTAAAGCTGAGATATGAGTGGAAAATTGCTGATAAGCCATCAGTATGCGTGTGCGGCGATACTTTCAATATTGATCACGCAATTATCTGCAAGCGAGGTGGGTTCATCATACAGCGCCACAACGAGCTGCAAGATCTTGAGGCTGATATGCTTAACATTGTCTGCAATGATATCGAGGTTGAACCCGTTCTTCAAGAGTTCACTGGCGAGGTTTTACCAAGAGGAGCAAATACAGCATCCGACGCTCGCCTAGATATCCACGCTCGAGGGTTCTGAGAGAAACAAAGGTCCACGTTCTTTGACGTTAGGGTTTGTCACCCCAACGCGGAATCCTACAAAGACCTGAGCCCTCAACAGATATACAGGCAACATGAAAACGAGAAGAGGAGGATGTATGCCCAAAGAGTGATGGAGATAGAACACGGAACGTTTACACCATTAATATTTACAACGACTGGAGCCATGAGTGAAGAGTGCAAGAGGTATCATAGCAGATTGGCCGAGCTCATAGCAGCAAAGAAAGGCGAAGACTACTCTACGATCATGTCCTGGATACGAGCCAAGGTCTCCTTTGCCATCTTGCGGTCAGCTCTACTTTGTCTCAGAGGGACTAGAGCACCCAGGAGGATAACAACGAACTTTCAAGAAACGGACTTCGAAGTAGACAATTCTCGTTCCAAAATTTAGGCTTAGACTTTTACCATAAATTCTTACTATAACATATATTATATAATACCATATTGAATTCTGATCGTTTACTTGGCTGTTTATGGTCACGTGATATTGAATAAAAAATTCAATTTCCCAAGAGTGCAATGGAATACGTTCCATTGCACTCTTGCGAGTGCAATTGTACTATACGTTTTATTCCATTGCACTCTTTGTGTTTTCGATAAATCGCATCCGTCAAAATGCTTCTCGTACGGTGATCGCAGTTTATTTTAACCCGATATTCGAAACTCAGTATTAAAATAGGATTTAATGCAAATACATGACTCGTCAAAATGGCGGGAGCTTACAGAAAACTTTTTAATATTAGTCTATTTTGGTATTATATAAAACAAATAATGAATGTTTTCATTCGTGCAATGGTAAGAAATATTTTCATTCGGTGAAAGATGGAATGTTCCATTCAACTCGGCTGTCGCCTCGTTGAATGGAACATTCCATCTTTCACCTCATGAAAATATTCTTACCATTGCACTCATAAACATTCATTATTTGTATACTATAACATACTACAACAATTTAGACTCACTTCCTTGTATATACTAGTAATTAGTTATTAATGTTGTAGGATTATTTTATAAATTATTATTATTATTATTATTATTATTATCATTAACATTATTATTATTATTATTATTATTATTATTATTATCATTATCATTATCATTATCATTATCATTATCATTACTATTACTATTACTATTACTATTCTCATTATCATTATTATTATTAGTATTTTTATTATATTTTTATTATTATTATTATCATTATCATTATCATTACTGTTATTATTATTATTATTATTTTTATTTTTATTATTATTATTATTATTATTATTATTATTATTATTATTATTATTATTATTATTATTATTATTATTATTATTATTATTATTATTAATATTATTATTATTATTATTTTGACAAAATCCGTTCAGTACTTACCGAAACTACTAATTAACAATGGTCTCATACCTACTTTTCAAATGGGAGAATCTTTTAAATATCTAGGAAGATTCTTTGATTTTGATACGTCCGACCACGAACACAAATCTGAACTAATGTTCCTCATTGATGAACTAATGTCTGATATCAACCATAAACCTCTACACCAAAAAAACAAACTTATTCTATATAACCGCTACGTTCTATCCAAAATATCCTGGCATCTCACTGTTTCACCCCTGTCGAAAACCTTGGTAACGGAAACAATCAATTCTGTGATTAATCAATACATCAGAAAGTGGCTTGAAATACCCATTTCTGGAACATTAAGTAATATTTATCTAACCCATAACAAAATCAGTCTGGATATCCTCCCTGCATCCGTCAAAATTATCCAATGTCAAACTGTCCTACGCAACGCCTTAAAAACATCCCCAAATGATTCCATAAAGGAACTCTGGAAATCAACTTTCAATCACACTAATATTCAGTACGACATATATAATTCAACAAAGGAAGTCTCAAGGATTTTCATTCTGGACAAGAAGATAAACTTTAACACCGTTTAAATTGTCAAGGTTAATTTTTCTCGAATGTTGCAAAGTTTTCCTTTTCACAGTTAAACACACTTTGGTCTGCCGCTCAATCAAAACTACCAAAGAACATTTTCAACTTCACCGTCCGTTACATAAATAACTCTCTTCCTACGCGAAAAAACCTTACAAGATGGGGTTTAGCTTCAAGTCCCGAATGTTCCTTTTGTTTGTGCCCTGAAACCCTATTACACGTGGTAGCCGGCTGCCAATCGTACATTCAGCGCTTTACTTGGAGAAATGATTTTATTTTAAACTTTCTCGCTGAAACGTTTCAAACAACAAATCCATGTCAACTTTATGCTGACCTATCCGGCCACAAAAGCCCGTCAATTATAACTGGTGACCTATATCGACCGGACTTACTCCTAATTACCCCCAAATGAAGATCTTTAT